ATTTTATACTGCACTTACTCTGAGTTAGGGAGGGATAGGGTTGTGAAGCAACAATGAGTAACTGGTAGCCAAACTGGCTGCCAGTTATAGTTGTAAATTTACTAGCACATATGCATGATTGACACTGGCCTCTTGTTGATCAGTGTGAGCTCTGTACCTCATGGCACCTTAGCAAAAGCCATGAAACCAATACCATGAATATTCTAGTAAGATTGAGCTGTCTGTTTATCTTCATGTAAGAAACCAGTCCAAGTTCTTTCCTCACTGCAGTACAAAATGAGACAAAATGATGATGCTTGATTTAGGGTTAGAGCTGAGACTTAATCTTCAATCAGTTTCAGGTGGATTTGGATGGAATGCTATCATGTAGTTTCCTATAAAGTCTTGTTTTGAAGGGCACTGCAAGTGAGTTTATAACAATTTCTCTAGCAGGAAAGAGAAAAAGGAATTTTTTAGGATGAGGAAAAAAAAGATGATATAAATATAACCACATTTTTAAAAATTGTCAGTTCAGTATATCAACCCCACAATTTATTACTCATAGATTCCTTATCAATGTGTGCAGTGCAACTACCAGTCTGGAGGCTCCATTGATTTGTTAGATCTGCAACTTGGTATTGCCACATATCAAATGAGTGGGGTAGCCTCTAAGGTTGTACCATGTTGGTGAAAAGACAGTAGCACTTAATTAGGGAAGAAAAAGCCCTAACTAAGCCTACTACTTGTTAAATTTCCTTCATCTTTATCTTCAACATCTACTCTCTGCTTCTGGTACTCCTCGTTGCTTAGGGGTTTCATAGGAGAGATGGTAAAGTATGGATTATTTGCTAGTCTACAGAGAGATGGTATTTCTACTAACAGTGATTTAACATGAAATCTATTCAACATGATATTGAATCATGTTTTATAGTTATTGGTATTGATTTTTAAATAACTATGTTAGTGTGCAAGGTAAATAAAAATACCCATTAAGGCTTTTTAAATTTTTGTAGTATAGGTGTTTACACTAATAACAATACCACTAATTTACTTGTTATTTTTATCTTTCATTTTCAGTGGAAAGGCACTGTGGGGTGTCATATGCGGCACATATGTTCTCCCTTCAGATGAGGTGGTTGGTGCAGAGCTCCAGCTGGCAGTGGAGCACCTCCGGCATGGCCTCTCAGCTTATGCCGACCCCAGTGGGGATCACTATGAGAAATGGGAGAAAACAGCACAGGTGTCAAAGGCAGAGAAGGCATTTGTCAAGAAGCTGTCGGCACTTTTGGTTAGTGTGGTCAGGGTGTGCTTTTCTCTAGTCTAGACTGAAGGTACTGCTTCTTTGTCGGTGAATATAGGAGTAAAAAACAATAGGAACAATTTATATGCAGTTGATCTAATTCCTAAACATTGTACAGAAACTCTCAGCGACACACAGCTGGCAGATGTTCCAGCTGTTCCTCCTGAATGAGTACCGAGGGGCTGAGGCCTCACTCTCCGAAGTTTTGGCCAGCCAGCGTGATGAGGAGACCTTCTTGGGCCAGCTTTGGAACTTCTACCTGGCTGACCGACTCCACCTCATCCGCTGCCTAAGACATGTAGTGGCCAACACAGCTAACCCACAGCACCCATACCAGGTAATAAAGCTTTCATTATCTAGGAAATGTATCATTGTGGCCATGTGTGGGGTAAGTGTCAGTGGTTAAGTTGAAGAGGATGTTTAGTGATGATCAATAAAGACTTTTTTTTTTCATTTAAAAATATTTATGAATATATTGATTTATTATATTAAATCATATTGTGGGACTATTTGAAATGCAAAGTACTGTATGGAATATTCTTGCATTCTTTCATTTTCTTTTATTGTCAGTTATTAGAATGTTACTACTATATGAACATACACACACACAAAAAAATCACAATAATAATACTGGGAAAGAATGGGGAAAGAATTTCTTACTATTGACATTTGTTTGCCTACTTGAGGACTGCAGACATCCACAAGTTGAGGTACACTCAGTGATGTTTCAGAGTGTACAGAAAATATTTATAGAGGGTTCTTAAGTTGTAGAGTTACTAAGATTTTTGAGTTTTTTTCCTATTAACTTTCTTCTTAACTTCAAAATTCCTGGTTCTTGTATGTCAAATAAAGAAAATGGCAAGATCTTTTTTTGTAATCACATACGCATATTTGTAGATCTAACTTATATAGTGTACACAGTCTAATCCTGCATCCAACATTTGTCTTCACAGAGTCTGTTCCACAACTTCATGCAAGACGTCCTGGACAAAGACGGCACGCTTGGGGAGAGCCTTGTCAACCAGGTAATGCTGTGCACGAAGATGGCCCCACCCACGCCCCAGTCCCACGGCCCACACCTCCCTCCACATGGCCCCACAACCTGGTTGGCGCACCACCTGGCCGAGCTGCGTGAGGTGCTGGCCACGCTGCTCGTCTACTATGGGAGCACATCACAGTCGCCAACTCCTGAAACATTTCTCAAACTAGTTCAGTTGGCACAGGTTGGTTGATCTTTAACATTTACCCTAAAAATGTTGATTTACCGGCGCAGGTGACCTGTTAGGGGTTGGGGTGGAGTTTTAGAGGCTTAATTAATAATATCCCATGATGATGTGGATGAAAATGATGTCTGGAGTTAGGGATCTTTTAAGGATTGTTATGTAAAAGTATGTATGTGTATTTCATACTGGTTCATATCACAGATTATTATGCGAGTAATTGTAATGAAAGTTTTTTTTTTTTTGTTAAATATTTTATCCATGAAGAAGAGAACGTTATTGCCATTAGTTACATTATCACATATAATTCACCTGCATGATTACCCTCGCAGGGAGGTGGCCTTGGAGGACGGCCAGAGATTCAGGAGGGCATAAGGGAAAGTCATGCCCCACTGGTCGAAGCTCTCGATGGTGCCCACGTCCTGCTCCTAACCCTCATCATCAATGCCGACTCACCCATCAGGTTAGACTTGTATTAAAAAGCAATTAGAATAGATTAATATGGTATGAAATGCAGGTGTTTATTATATTCAGCTCCTATACAGCTCAAGTATTTTGTTTCTTAAAATCTGTTATGAATGAACTACTTTAGAATTTTGTTGAACCTTTGCAAGCACCCACCAGTTGGTGGTCATTATCCAAGGAAGCTCTAGCAGCAAATAGACAAATGACAGGCAGAAAGTACACTTGGTATTTTGGAATTTGGCATAGATATTCACTCTCCTTTCTCATTTCAGTGACAATAAACTCTGCGATAGTGCTTGGGTCAAGAAGCTAGACCCCACCATGGCTGGCTTGGGAGCCCGTACACCCCACCTGGCCCCCTTGCTGGCTTGGGCTGTCCTACAGCTCAGGGCATCAGATGGGGGACCAAAAGGCAACCCGAGGATGTACAACAAGCTAGCACAAAGAGCCGTTCATGGCAACGTGTTTGCCTACCTCCAGACAGCACTCAATAATACGTCAATACAGGTTTGTTGAAAAGAGCAGGGTTTCTGTTTAGATGTATGATGAAAAAGAAGACTGCTATGTATGTATTTATGTGCATGCAACTATATGTCTCTGGAAATATATCTGTTCATTTTTTTACATGTGTATTTGTATCAATATGTGTACAGCATTTGTAGCTACTCATATGTCAATGTATATGGGTGTGATATTTATTTTAACTAAAGTGTCAATACAAAAAACTTGGTGACAATGTCTTCAAGTAGATAAGTTGAATTTTTTTAATACAAATTCTTGCCACCAGGGAGATGAACTGCTAGTGCGGCTTGCATCTTCGGTCGTGTACTCCCTCATGTGTGCTGCGGCAGGATGCCTTGACCTAGAGCGAATGGGATGCCTCTCTGTCCTGAATACCCTGGCCAAGAGGTGCCTTGCTCAAGACCCTCCGGCACAACTCTTTTGGGCTGAGGAAGGTGAGATTATCCATATTCTTTGCATTAGCAGTTAGAAGAGTATAGAAACGTTCTTTTCAGTATTTCCATCAATAAATTGATTATATGTTGTTTTCTTTTGGGCTGAGGAAGGTGAGATTATCCATATTCTTTGCATTAGCAGTTAGAAGAATATAGAAACGTTCTTTTCAGTATTTCCATCAATAAATTGATTATATGTTGTTGTTTTAATTATTTTTATTAGTATTAATAGTACTATCATTGTTATTATCATCATTATCATTATTAATATTAATGTTGATATTATTTTCGTTATTATTATTGTCATCATCATTGTTAATCATGTTTAAGTGTGATGCTGCACTTTGCAAGCTTCACTTATTGATGAGTTTGTTTTGTTGTGTAGCATGGTAAGGAACCATGGTTTGAATTATGGATAACTGACTTTATTAAAGCAAAATATTGTTTGTAGGCATTTAATTTACCTTACCACTTTAATCCATAAGCTCAACAAATGCAGGCAGAGCATGGTTTGTGGTAAGGGAAGGAGATCAATAAGTATTAGGATGAAAGAAGGCAAAGAAAATATAAGTGACAACTGTGTGATGTGATGGATGGGCAAGAGTGCCTTGTTTTTTGCAAAAAGAAAAGTTACGATTATTAGAGAGAAGAACTGAAAGCATGGCAGTCTGTCACGAGTATAGGAAAGAAAAAACGGGATGTAACTGTCGCCTGTCATTTCTGGAAGGAAGTAAGGTGAGGGGAAAGATTTTTGAAGACGTTGAACCTTGAAGAATTAGTAAACCATGATGGAGTGACTGTTTTGCTTCAATACATGGACAGATAGTACAAAAAAGATGACAGCTGTGTACAAGGCATGGACAAAATTTGATTGTTACAAAAAAGAAAAAGAAGATATTATGGAGAGGCACATATGTATACACACACGCACATGCACATGCACATGCACACGCACATACACATGTACTTGTATATATATTCATACATACATATACATATACATATTTTTTTTATTACTCTTTTTTTATTTTCATTCTTTTATTTTTCAAAGGTGGTGGAGCTGGACTGTTACTGCCACAGGCAATAGAGGTTTTCCCCTACGATGTTCAGCCCTTGCTGTCTCTCATGAGTGCTCTGGCTGTTGCAAATACAGAGAGCTGCCAGAAGGTATGGCTGTCTGCTGAAGGTTTGGACTTCCTTTTTGATAGTGGTCATATTTTATGTATTGAGACATACATGTACAAACGTTGATATATATAAGTGCATGGAGGGGGGGAGGGGTGGCAGATGAAATCCATCCATCTATATAGGAAAATGAAAGAGTCCAAAGAAATAAGATAAATAAGATGCTCTCTCATCTTTTAAAGTAATTATACCATATTTTCCTTCTATTTTTCAGGTAATAGAACTTCTGACAGAGCTGCCAAACCTCTCCTGGGTGCTGACGCAAAGTGACCACAGGAGCATTCAGATCAGGGGCAATGACTGCATAACCACAGCTCCTCTGCAGGTCCTTCCATCATTGACCATTGCAGCAGACACACGTGGCACCCTGATCTCCACAAACCCTCCTGTTGTAACCTGGCACATGCCCACAAATGCATGGCAAGCTCTTTTGGGGGTCATGAAACTTCTTGATGAAGAGGTGAGAGTGAATAAGGATTATCCTATTTTTTTTATCTTATATTGTGGATATTTTTGTATATTTATTTATAATTGTTTTTGTGATGCGCGTCTTTCTTCGTTTTGACCTGGGATTGTCTAGGGATACTGTTACTCTAGGTACAGACTGTATAAGAGTGTTAACCCCTACAGTTTGTATGACCATTACGTCATTAAAAAAGTTGACTTGAGGGGAAAATCTGGCTGTAGGCTGGGGTGATGGGAAAGACTTGCCACATGTGCACAAACTTCTTGGAGGATGATTAAACTCTTTTAGGATTTAGAAAGGGGCTTTTGCATTGCTCCCATCATTAAATGAATGTGGAATGTATTGTCAATGAGCCATGACTGGAAGAGCACTGGCTTAAGGGAAATTTCCATTTTCATGCTCAGTATCCTATTCCTGGCTGCCATGACTGGTGGTGGTACAGAAAATGAATATTAAAAAAAAAAAAAAAAAAAAAATAGAATTAAACAAATAACAGAATGTTACTTATTGTTATTTTTCTTACAATGAGTTATGGATTGCCTAGAGTGATAATATAGATGATACAGGATTGCTGTGAAGCAGCCAGATTCAGTGGGTTAGCTTGGAGTATTCTGATTTAGTCAAGTATAACAACAGAAACTGCTCAAATAAGCATCTTTCCCTTAATGTGAGAGAATTCTTCTGCCAGGTAAGTGGAGGGGCAAGCATTCCCGACCAGAAGCTCATGGAAACAGTATCAGCTACGCTCCGCCTCCTGGCCTCCCTCTTGACTACACTCCCTGACCATCTGCCGGCATTCATCCACTTCATCCAGCAGACAATAGTGCTGTTACGCAGGTGTGACTTGTATTCTGCTCTGCATGTCTTGATCTGATCTAAGGAATACTTGATTTCTCATAATGTCATTATTATCTCATGTTCTGTTATAATTATCACTATTGTCATCTTATGCAGAATATCTCAAGTCAGTCGGCCACCGGGACAGCTGGTGGCAACACTCATGGAGTTTCTGACAGAGGTTTCAACACAGGACCCTAAGTTGGTGTGGAATGAACTTGAGAGCTGCCCTCTCCTACCTTTCCTTGCTGCCCCACACAAAACCGGTGGGTTGACTGGTTTGTATCATTTAGAATACTGATATGTTGAATTAGTGATGCCCTGCCATAGATAAATTGCCTTCCAGTCTACACTATAATAATTTACATTTTAGTACATGAACTTACAGGTCATCCATTTGATATAAAATCTAAAAGAAAAACATGGGAAGAGAAAACTGTATTTTAATTATGGCACATCACATTTACAGGAGCAAAGAAAGGGAAAGTAGACCCTTTCCTTGGGTATCGTGCTGGTGCCCTCAGAGCCCTAGTCTGCGGTGAAGAGGCAGCAACAGGGAAATACCCCATCCTGAGTTCCTACACGCGCTTATTGATATGTGGTGTGAAGGTAATTGGTTGTTGTAGTTTTTGTTATAGTGATGCATACAGGATATTTCTGCTGTGCTATTTCATCATGTTTTTCTTTTTGTCTCTTTCTTTCTTTTTCTTTTCTTTTGGTCATTGTAGAATTTCTTCTTAAACCTATTCACAATGTTCAAGTAAAGTTTCATATACTCCCTGAAAAATTATTCTAATTGATGAAACCATTTCTTTCCTTCAGGATGGCTTCAGCAGTGGGAGTGTAAATGGGGGTGTGGTGTTTGTAGCAAGGGAGGTGACAGGAGCCTTGCTAAGATGGTGCTACAGTTCCCAAGAAGAGAGAGACACTGTCCTCAATCTCTGTCTGGCCCTTCTTCACCACACTCTAGAGGCCTCAGACATAGGTGAGTTTGACCATGGGGTGCAATGGAGACTTCATTTAGGATCCATTATTGGATTAGAAGGAGCACAGTAATGAAGGTGATATAACTTGAGAAAATTAATTAAATAGTTCCCACCACTTACTCTACACACAGATACCAGTGTTCGTGACTTGGTGGTCAAACAGTTGGTGGATAGTAGCAGTGCTGGGCAGACTCTGCTGTCAGTGGTAGTTGGTGGAGCTAACTTGGAGACAGCTATCAACCACCCAATGCACTCACCCATCTCCACCCATGCACACAGACTCACACGAACGGCCCAGATGGCTCTCTCCATCTTGCACAGGTAAATCTTGGAGGTCTGCTTTTGGTTCTTTACAAATAAGTGTGCTGTTTGGAAAGTGGATAGACATGTGTAAATTTCTGTGATGTTAAATGGTTAGACATGAAATACTTTTTTTTTCTTTCTTAAAAATTAATCACTGAAAGCCAGTATTATTTCTATAAATGATGTCAGTGCTACTGTTAATGATAGTATTACTATAGATAAAGGTGCTTTGATGTATTATTTTATTTTTAAAAACCTTCTTTCTAGGCTTGTAGGTGAAGACACCAGCATGGACGGACTAAATCAGCTTCTCCGTGCAGCTCCAACCCCCAATACACCTCTGAGTGGAGGACGCTTGCATAGTAGCACCTCCCCTCATTTGGCTTTGACTGTTGCTTTGTATGCGCATCAAAGGCTTAATCCACGTCTCTCCTACCTTGCTCTGCGAACTCTTACCAGATTTGCTCAGGTAAGGGGGCTGAGGAGTGTGACAAAGTTCCCGTTATAGAATTATGTAGTTTAGTTCATATTGAGTAATACCAAAATGGCTTGAAAAGTTTTGAAGTCATTGATAATTTAAACATTGGGCTCTGCTTAACACTCAGTGAGGTTGTAACTCAGTAGAACCATACCTCTTTGTGAACTTTCAACCCCATCTCCAAATGTACAGTTAAGTGTAAATAGCATTCACGTCGGACCTTAACCATAGTTTTTGTTGACCCCCATATATTCCAGAAACTCAATGTGCCATTAGTTGCCTGTCTGGGTGGAGAAGCTGAAGGGATTCGAGATGCTCTTCTGCGCCGATTAGACTCTGCAACTGAAGACGTGCGCGTGAAAGTTGCTCTCCTACGTCTCCTAACGGCATCTACCACACGGCAGCAGGGGCTAACCAATGCCTTCCTCACACCTCCTGAGAAACTCTTAGATCCTCTTACATCACTCTTTAATCCCTCTGTAAGCAAAGGAGATTTGTATTAGGGTGCAGTAGGATCTTTGTCAGTTTTGTTGTTTACACTTTATTTTTTATTTTTTATTTATTTATTTATTTATTTTTTGCCAGACTTTAAATCATGCTTTCTATTTTGAAGGCTTTTCGATAATGACACTATACTTGTCTTTAAGGGTATCTGATATATATATATATATATATATATATATATATATATATATATATATATATATATATATATATATATATATATATAAATATATAAATATATATATATATAAATATATAAATATATAAATATATAAATATATAAATATATAAATATATAAATATATAAATATATATATATATATATATATATATATATATATATATATATATATATATATATATATATATATTAAAAAAAAAAATTATATATATATATATATATATATATATATATATATATATATATATATATATATATATATATATATATATATATATACATATACATATACATATACATATACATATATATATACATACACACACATGTACAATTATGAAACCTTGAAATTTTTTCTGGTATTACTAGACCTCTACGTCATCGGGAAGAGAGTTGGGCTTAGCAGTTGTGGAACTTGTAGATGCCCTCTGGAGTGAGAAATATACCACTGCAACAACCTACCTGCAAGATAAATCAGACTTCTGGCAGGCACTTGTTCAACCCCTCACAAAAGAGAAGACAAGTAAGGAGAAAGCTCTTAATGGCGGTGTGTGCTTTTCATTAAATTCATGATTGGAACACGGATATAGATTTTTTTTCTCCCTGGTGACGGAATGAAAAATATTTTGAAGCCATATTTTATATTTGTCCTTATAACTACCACTTCCTCTTTCTTCTAGATGAAGTGAACAATGCCATTGTTGGCCACACATTGCGGGTGCTTGCTCGGCAGGTCTTCTCGTCTGATGCCAAACCCAGTGCTTGTCTCAAGTCGGCCATGGATAAACTCTGTGATCCAGTCAAGGGAACCATTTGTCAGTGGTCAGAAGTAAGCTTGCCTCTCTCCTTGTTCTTCATTCTTTATTCTTATCTTTGTTCATTTCTTTTTTTTTTCTTTGTTTTTCTTCTGTGCTCTTTGTTCTGTTTCTTCATCTTTCTCCATAGTTAGAATATTGCTGTTGTTTGGATTTTCCCACTTCTCATTTGCACATAGTTTTAAAGAACCTTGATTTCCATAACTGCAATTTTTTTATAGATATTCTATATGAAAATTTGATGAAAAGAAGCCAGGAGAAAAAAAAAATGCATTAGAATATTGCCCCATCTGTTGTGCTACAGGGAACCCAGACTAGCAAACGTGTCACAAATAGAAACGCCAACACCCACACTTCCACCCCCTTTCTAGCTAAATAACTCATAGTTAGTAAAAACAGCAACAGCAATGTTAACCCTACTTTGTCTAAACTCATTGTCAACAACAACTTTTCTTTTCTTGAATAGCACATAGTAAACAGTCTAGAGGACTCCAGTCACCTCAGCGATGATGTTACCGAGTTGTTATTACCTGCTTGGCGAGACCTGGTGGTAGTGATGGTAGCTAGGGCCAAGACCTGGCTGGCCGACAAGCAGAAAGTAAGTGTCAGTTACTCATGAAATTATTGCTTTGAGTTCTTATTGGTTATCAATTATTATTGATTGTTATTATGGTAGGGAGGTCTCTGGGGACTTTTCAGAAGCTTGCCCCAAGGTACATCCTAGAATGGAGATTTATGTGGAAATTCAAAGCAAATCAACCTAATAATCTCTGTCTCATTTTTTCATGTTCTCTCTTGCAGGTAAGCATAGCAAGTGACATTCTACACGCCCTCCTGAATCAGCTGGAGAAAGAGTCTATGGATGAGAAGCTGGCTCTTCTCCTGGCTGAGTTGTACCTGGCTCTAGTCAAGCATTGTGGGAAGTAAGTGCAGAAAATTATATTAGGCTATAGTAAGTTATAAGTGGCATTATTATGCTGTTCATAATAGTTGTAAGCTATGTCAGGCTCCTGTAAATTGTAAGTTTGTAATTTTAATTGTATCATTATTATTATTATTATTATTATTATTATTATTATGATTATTATTATTATTATATTATTATTATTATATTATATGATGATGATGATCCTCATCATTTTTATTATTATTATTAGTGTTATGATAATTATTGACATTTATTATTATTATGATATTAATAATACCACTACTAATGAAAAATATAAAACAAAAATCCTCAAATATCAAGAAAAGGGTAAACATGTAAGACCATTATAGTCCTAGCAGTTGACACCCATGGTAACTGAGCACTTCTGGAGCCATGTGTTATTTTTGTAAAGCAAAATCCACAGTGGACTTGGCATGTATTACGTACCCTTTCTGTGTCAGTGGATTACTAAGTTGTTCTTTCATGTACCTGCCTTTTTACAACAGCAAGTTCATTGTTCTTCTGTTTTGTTTGTGTGTCATGTTTGTTAATTTATGTATATGTATATGTATATGTATATGTATATGTATATGTATATATATGTATATGTATATGTATATGTATATGTATATGTATATGTATATGTATATGTATATATATATATATATATATATATATATATATATATATATATATATATATATATATATATATATATATATACATATACATATTATATCATATTTGAATTAAGAACACTGCAGTTGTATTATTTAGTTGTACAGTTATCTTGAAATAGATTGCTTTATTTGATCTTCTGAACCTCCCTCCTAACATACTGGCCATTGCAGAAACCTCATTGAGAAAGAGGACTGCTTCAAGGGGGTGGGCAAGCTGTTGGTCAAGGTGCAGGAGGCAGTGATGACGACGCCCACGCACTCCCAGATGCTCATCCTCGGTGCAGCCCTCAGGATGGTCAAGCTCACGGAACCATCCTCACAGTCCCAAGGTAGGGGAGGAGCATTTCCCCAAAAGAGATGGGGTTCTCCTCACGAGACAAGTGTCGTAAAAAGGCAATAACAGAACATGCCTTTTATGAAATATGATTCAAGTTCAAGTAAGGTGCAAAATATCTATGTATGTGTTTCTCTTATTTTGTGTTTATGTAAGGGTTTGAGTAACCAAGACCAAAGGGACTTCATCATGAATATACTAAGTATGTCAGTATATGTTAGTTATGTTCAAGTTGTATTAGCTTTTGTTCTAATTTTTTCAAAGGATTTTTTTTGTGATGTTCCGTTGATTATATTCATGCCAAATATATCACAATATATTGAGTTAAAGTCTGATAATTTTCTAGAAAAAAGTTATTATTATAATGATAATGATAATAAATCTGAAATAAGTTCTAATTGAAGACACTATGGAGCACTAGTATTTATATGCTTATGATATATATATATATATATATGAAAATAATAGCAGTAATTAGCTGACTTGAATGGGCTTGAATAGTAGTTCTATGCCATTTTATCTTTAAAAATAATAATTGATTAATAAATAAAGGAAATAGATCTAAAACTGTCCCAAATAAATAGAATTCTCAGTAATCACGCCCACCTTTCCATCCTCGTCCAGGCCAAGCGCTTGCACTCCTGGGCCCTGTGACGTGGCTAGTGCAGCAGCATGGGAGGCTGGCGGGCTCCTCTTCCTCCTCCTCCTCCTCCTCGTCTTCTTGCACAACAGCGGCCACTCTGAGCCTGGCTGCTGCTCTCCTCCACCAGTGCCTGCTGCGTTGTGCCCCCGATGCTGCCCGCCCCTTCCTGGCCCACACACCTGTTGTTCCGGCATTGCTGCATGCTGTCGAGACCTATATGCAGGTAGGAGTCTGTACTGT